CCTCGTGTAGCTTTGCGCGTAATTCAAAAACAAAAACAAACAAATATGTAACACTTTGTACACTGGTTAAGGAACGGCATTTATGTGGATAACAGAACTTCCAAGAACATCTGGGAAGCTCTGATGTAGACTGGACGATCTAACCACTATATGCTTGAAATAGAATCAATCATGTCATCCCGTAAGTAAAAGTACGAAAGAAATTGCTTTTAGGTATTTCTAAGCCTGTACATGACCGATATTACTAGCCAACTTATAGTACGAGACCAAAATAGTTCTCCAGCGACACTTTTTGTGACACAATTCATAAATATACATTGGAAATAACCCAGCAAACTGTAACTAGCACAATCAATAAGGCTACTACAGCCCACATCTGATTTGTTTGTTGGCTAATAGTTAAGTGTGACCTAGCACATTTATGTGAAAATTTTCACCTTTCTAAGACAAACGAGGAAGAAAACATTACATTTTATAAAATACTACATAAAACCCAACAAGTTTGGAGTTGAGTTAGTTTTAACTGAAATCAACTTACATAATTTTCCTAATCAATTTAAATTTTTAAATGTTTAGAGTAGTTCTTTAGCTTTGCTTACATTGGGTTTTCAGTATTTTTCATCATATTACTCTCTTTGTTTGACGCACAAAAGCAGTCATTCTATCATGTTATAATGACTTATTATAAATACACTTCAAGAGGAAAGATAAAAGTATACTCTTCCAGCCGAACATTAATTTGAAAAGACATAAAAACATTCTGTTATTCAAACTGCTCAGTTCAAGATAAAGATCAACTATAAACTGCAAGTCACATCAGTTAATCAGTCATTAGGTAAACTGCTTGTTTAAGTGTTGATTCAATAATAATATATTGTGTCACTAATTGACTATCAGTTACTGAGGAATTGATTAATAGTTCTGCATCTGGTTGTAAGTACATCATGGCAGTACCTATCACAAACATTTCATGAAAAGTTATAAATGTTATACACTTTGACATAAATATATTTGCAGGTTTGCCGTCAGTTTTCATACTTACCTGGTGTCTCCTGATGTCACGTGACCTAAATTCTTCATGCTGGAAAGGCTACGGAGACTCGAACTTTGTGTGGATTCTCAATGGCCCAATGTTGATTGCTCTTTCGGTCAGTAACGTTCTTCTTTACTTATCGTTCATCTGGGATTATATTGTTCTATATTTTCTCATATCCATGTTTTAAAACGTAAGTTAGGATGTATTGGATGACAATTGTTTAGTATCGTTATTTGATCTCTTTGTATGTCTGCAAAAATACTTAAATGGTGGCTGCTCATCAACCATTCTTGGTTCAATTTTGCCGATCATTTTATAAGTGCCTATGCTATTTTTGTAGATTTAGATTTTTGTCTTACGATTATTTGGTCAATTGTCTTATAACCTCGATAATGAAAAATAACTTGCCGTGTCGTGTAGGTTTTTGACGTTTCAAGTACGTCCCACTAAGTCCATATCCACAGTCTTAGGTGTCTATCAATATAAATCAAATCATACTTCACTGAAATTCTTGGATGAATTGAGCGAGAGAAAGTAAAATATTTTTTTTCAATGTAGAATATGTTTTAAGAGAACCTAATTTATTTATGTGAGCATGCAAATAATCCCAGTGTTATTGTCTGTTTTCTAGCAGAATAAAATACTTACAAGACTTGTATTTATGTGACTCTGCGTTTCACGTGACATGTTTTGTTAAAGTACTCTATAAAAACTTGTGTTAAAAAACAACATAACTACAGTTGAAGTTAAAACCACACAATCATTATGGGTTGAAAAACAAGCAGAATTCCACTTGGATGATACATGAATTTTATAAAATCGATATATACATAACAAAACTACTAAACTATGGCGTTTCTTAAAACAGATTAAAAATCAAACACTGCTTGAAAACAATATTTGAAAAATTATCTTATTAGCTGAAGAGCGATTCATTTCCATCACGTGCTGCTCCTGAATGGTTCAAATCAGAATTCGCTATCAAAATGTGGCATCACAACACAACAACATGTTTAAATAAGAACAATTTTGAATTGAAAATTGTGCGTTTTTGAGTTGTTAGAAAACATAAAAAGTCACATGTTTATATCGCTACAACAATCAACTATGGTATAATTTACACAAATCTGTGTTTGGCGAATACAATTTGTGTATTACCATGAAAGAAAACAATCTATGTGTTGTTTACAACACAACATTTTTACAGTAAAGCTACATTGTAGAAAACTCATGAAGATGAGTTAGTTCAGTTAGATGCCCCACGTGATATAAGAATTTAGAGCAACAAATCTGAGATGTCCAATAAATTGAAAGTTGTCAGAAATATAGAAGAAGTATCTGGTCTTAAGCATCCTTTATCAAGTTATGTTACGAGAGGATATAAGTTTTGACATGTGGTTGTTTACTTAGAGAATAATCATGCACTGATCCATGGCTGTGCGTTGCTTTTTCTAAGTCATTGTAAAAATATTAATATGTTATTGAATCAATCTAAGACCAAACTGTCCAAAAGTGTATTCTTTAAAACTTTTTTTCCTTTTTTACACTTAAAATACTTAGTATTCCACCCCCAAGTGGCACAGCTAACTTTGTATATCTGACCCCTATCATATAACTGATACAAACTTTGTATGTCTGACTTCTATCATATCACTGATACTAACTTTGTATGTCTGACCTCTATCATATAACTAATACTGACTTTGTATCTCTGACCTCTATCATATAACTAATACTGACTTTGTATCTCTGACCTCTATCATATAACTAATACTAACTTTGTATGTCTGACCTCTATCATATAACTAATACTAACTTTGTATGTCTGACCTCTATCACAAAGCTAATACCAACTTTGTATGTCTGACCCCTACCATATAACTGATACTAACTTTGTATCTCTGACCTCTATCATATAACTAATACTAACTTTGTATCTCTGACCCCTATCATATAACTAATACTAACCTTGTATGTCTGACCCCTATCATATAAGCTCTAAATGCAGTTTTCTCCAATTAACTTTCAAAACCCCATGCTTTGGAAAAGAATGGAAATATTTGAATTTTCAAGTTATTTGAAAACGTCAAATTAAACTAGTTTTATTCTTATCGCACATGCGCTTATTATCGTTTAACTAGTCGTCCCCCCCCCCCGTTAAGTTTACGAACGTATAACGGTAAAATCTGAGGGTCATTTTAATTTCAATTTTACACATGATTGATATCGCATATAATTTGAAACCTTTACAATCTTGGGACCTTAAAGATGATCCAACTACTCAAAAAAACTTGTTTATATCCAACTTCTTCGACCTTGTTACTTCGGTCAGTACATCATAACTGACAGTTTACACAATCTTTTAGGTCAACACATTCTTTCTGGTGAATATAATCAGGATCCTGGTGACAAAACTCCGAGCTAGCGCTTCGGCAGAAACGGCCCAAGTGAGGTATAATTTTTTTTTCTTTAGCAGTAGCTTATTTTTCAGTAACGGAAAATAAAGAAAAAAGTCCTATATTTATAATTTACTTTTTTTTCTTAAACATATTCCTCATTTCAAGTAATGACTACATATAGAAGGTTGCTTATTATGGATTTATTTTATTCTGTTCTACCGTTACAGCAGTAACCTTCTATTGCACGCATTGTGAAAACACAGTGGGAAAATGTTTTCGTTGAATATGTTAATTAAATAGGTCTATATATTTTACAAAAAATGTTTTTGTGAAATATATTTTGGTATGATATAACTGGGTACGGCCCGGCATGGCCAGGTGGTTAGGGATCTCGACTCGCAATCTGTGGGTCGCGGGTTCGAATCCCCTCACACTAAACATGCTCGCCTTTTCAGCCGTGAGGACGTTATAATGTGACGGTCAATCCCACTATTCGTTGATAAAAGAGTGGCCAAAGAGTGGGCGGAGGGTGGTGATGACTAGCTGCCTTCCCTCTAGTCTTACACTGGTAAATTAGGGACGGCTATTGCAGACAGTCCTCGCGAAGCTTTGCGCGAAATCCATAACAAGCAAACAAACAATAAATGGGTACATACCTAGAAGTACCATTGTTCAATTGCAGAATCAACAAAATAATTCCATGGTTTATTTAGACCGTTCCTTGGCAGTAAGAGTATTTAAATACTGAACTGAAACATTTGTATGTGTATAACCAACAAAGATAAATGTATTACCTGTACGTCACAATATATAATAGAGGGTTAAACAAATACTTGGAATATATTTGTACTGGAAAACCACCCTTGAAAGCCACGTATAAACGTGATATCCCTAGGAAATAAACACCTAATGAAGTCTTCCCTGAATTTGTTAGTAAAATAGCTTATAATAAAATATTTTGTCAATAAAGTTAAACAAAAAAGACCTTTACTCTCCAGACAACAATATAAAACTTTAGTTCAGCCAATGTTTCGCCATTGCGGTTTCATTAGGATTAGTAATACAAAAAAACTGTTTGATTTAAAAATATACGTTAACTTCACAAACTGTTTTTTTGGTGCTATATTTCTCGAGACTTTCGTAATGTGCTTTTATTTTTTCGGCAGAGTTTTGGAAAGTCGATTTGATTTGATTTTTCTGCCCTGAGCACTTTGCTGTAACAATATGGTGGATTTGGTCGACTTACGGAAATATTTTATTGTTTTTCAAAATTTCTTGTGCATACTGAGAGGATTTAGACATTTTGACAATAAATGAATTAACGCCTAGAAATGAATCATCTAACCTATATAAAAGCCAGTGTGTGTCACGTCATGCTTGATTTCTCGAAGTAAGAAGAGTCATAAAAGCCAAAATGCATTTATCCAGATAGAATAGTTCGATTACTGTCTGTCCATTACGATTTTAGTGACGGTGTTACAAAGAGGCCATGAGGGGAGTGGGGGGGGGGCGTAAAATCTTATAAATATAGTGAGCGTTGGTGTAATAAGCCTTAAGTGAAGACGTAGTATGGGATCACCTAGCCTACAGCCAAGTGCATAAAATTTATCATGAAAGTAAAAGTATCGATTCAATTATAAACTTAAATCGTTTCGGAATTAAGCTATTTTCTATTAT